ATTTAAGTCTCACGAAAAGGAAAAATTAGTTTTGTCACTTCACTGTGACCGGAAAAAACCGAAAACAAAAAACATACAAAAATAGAGAATTTTTTAAAATAAAAAATAAACATATAATAATACACATACAAAAAAGGAAAAAAAAAAATAAAACAAAGAGGGGGGAAAAGAAACCACATAAAATAACAAAAAAAATAAAGAGAGGGAATAAATACGGACAACATAAAAGTCAAGAGAGATCTGAGTTATTTCCCAAGAATTGTGTAACAAGATAAGGTGCGAGATGACTAAGACCTGACTCTGTCGAGTCGTCAAGTAATAAACTAGGCGGGAGCTATCTAGTCCTAACGGCTACAAAGACCGAGGTGAACGTCGACTCGCACCTAGTCAGGGTCCACGGGTGCTTTCGTACCACCGTACGACACGCCGCTACGTCGAGAGTGAGGAGGTTTTTGTGAAAAGTTGTCCCGATAACCGGAAACAGGGGACCGCCAAAGAAACAACATTTGGTGGAACATGGCTACCATCTGGTGGCCAACAAGAGAGCTGCACCCTCATCACCTTGCCCCGATACTGTTTTTCATCAATATATTATAGGTCTCAGATATATACAAAACATGTCTCTGAAGTGTTTGGCTTTTAAATACCCAACAGGTAATGCATTCTAGTATCCCATAATCCCCTCTGTTTCAGCCCTGTTTCAAAAGTGTCTGTTACTTTAGATGAAAATAAGGAGCCACTCCCCACGCCCCTCTGAGAGAGATTTGGTTAAAAGGAACACAATGGTGCTCTAGGAGGATATTCGGGAGGGGGTTACCTTGGTTGGTGATTGGCTAATGGTTACACAAGACAAAACATCGTTATGACATCATAAGGTGGCCAAACATCTGATCAGCTCATTTTCAGACAGGTTTTTATATAAATGGATCAGGACAAAAAGAGAGCAAATCTTTCTTCCTGAAAATGTCTGAATCTCTTTACACAGAAGGGACACATGTTTATGTATAAAAAGACATGAAAAAGTGGATTTTGCATAATAGGTGACCTTCAAGTAGATTTCCGTTTTAAAAAATGGATTTTTACCATATAGCCCTGTAGTACAGTATAAGTATATAATAATTGTTGCGTCTTACCTTCCTGCCGCAGCAGTAACCCAGGCCCTGCATGACGGGATCAATCTCTGCTTCAAACACCTCTGACAGTTTAGAGCAGTATTTGTAGACACGGGATGTTTTGCGGTTGTACAGCCAGGCGTTGTTGAACATGAGCCACACATCGTCCACATACTGCCACGGCTCCTGGTACTGACCCGTGTCCAACTTGCGCTTGATGGTGGATAAGTCAATGGGAGTCTTCACAATGTCAAAGTAGTCCTGTGCAGCGGGGGAGGCATATTTGCAGCAATGAGCGGACCATGCTTAACATTGTTTTCTGCAGGTCTTTTATTATATTTGTTGTGTGTGTGTGTATAGTTGTGACCACTCACAGGGATGCCTAGCTGCATGGGGTCTACAGGCTGTCTGAAGGGCAGTGACTCTGGGTCTTGCCTGTAGAGGGCCTCAAGTGTTGGCATCAGGGCTTGCCTCAGCTCCTCTGGCTTGAAAACTGCGCAGACAATAATAATGTTACACAAACAACATATTTGAGTGTGCAAACTAAGACAAGATTCTACCTTAGTGGGATATACAAACCAACTGTGCCCTATCTTAATGCACAAAATATCAAAACACAATATATTGTTGCAACTAAATATATGAGATCTGGGTTCTTACTTTTCTTGCGGCTCTGAGGGCTGGAGGAGGCAGATGTGCCGTTGGCCCCGCCCTCCTCCTCTTCTTTGGGTTCTGTCTTTATCTCAGGCTTCTTGTCCTCAGTTTCCATCGGTTCCTGCTTTGGCTCTGTTGCATCGGGCTCCTCCTTCTTCACTAAGGGTTTGGTTTCATCATCCGGCTTTATGAACAAAAACATGGTTAACCTCCTTATACTAGCATTCAGAGCCAGGAAGAAATCATTTAATGCACAAGATTGACTTATTTGGACTTAGTTTGTAACAACAGGGGTCAACAGGAAAGTGCTTCGAGATCTAGAGCAGACATATGTGGGATTTTATTTCTTTGGAGGTACTAAATTGTCCCCGATATCATACCTCCATTTTTATATCTTGCTGCTTCTTTCCAGACCCGCTGTCCTCTTCTTCGTCTTTGACTTCAGGTTTGGCTTCAGTGCTGTTCATGTCTGGCAGAGCCTGCTGGGAGCTCAGCTCCGCCACAGAGGCTGGGGTGGGCACCCTGTTATCTATACTCGCTGCTGCCTGGGACAACTGGGAGAAGAGGAGGAAGAAAGATTATGATCACACAGCTGATAACTCACATATCAAGTCAAGCTGATCCTCTCACACAATTTCTCTATTATATATTATTAAATAATTAGTCAAAAGACCTGCCAGCTCGGATAGAAACTGGCAAAAACGATACTAGTTCATTTGAACTACCGTAATTTTCGGACTATAAGGCGCACCTGAATATAAGCCGCAGCAGCTAAATTGAATGATGTGTACATATATAAGCCGCACTGGACTATAAGACCGCGCAGGTGTTTTAATTG